TACACCACTATTGAAAAAGAGCTTTTAGCAGTTGTTTTTGCATTTGACAAATTTCGCTCTTATTTGCTAGGTGCTAAGGTAATTGTCTACACGAACCATTCAACGCTTAAGCATTTGTTGGCAAAGCAAGAAGCAAAAACCAAGGCTAATAAGATGGATCCTACGCCTTCAAGAGTTTGATTTAAAAATCCGAGACAAGAAAGGGTCGGAAAATGTGGTAGCAAATCATTTATCAAGAATTGAGCAACCGGCATAGGGAAGTGAAGAGGAAACTCAAATCAAGGAGACGTTCCTAGATGATAAATTGATGAGAGTTGAAGAAACACCTTGGTATGCGGATATTACAAATTACCTATCATCAAAAGTGCTTCCAAATTGCCTGACTTTCTAGCAAAAGAAAAAAAAATTTCTCTGATTTGAAATTTTACTTTTAGGAAGAACCATTTTTGTATAAACATTGTGCAGATCATATAATAAGGAGGTGTGTCCTAGAAGAAGAAATGGAGAGTATTTTAAGGCATTGCCATGAGAAGGAAGTCGGTGGTCACTTTGGAGGAACTAGAATAGCAACTAAAGTCCTTTAATCTGGGTTTTATTGGCCAACTTTGTTCAAGGATGCTTTTCAGTTCGTTCAGCAATGTGACCAATGTCAAAGGAGTGGAAATATTTCAAGGAAGAATGAGATGCCATTGAGTAACATCTTGGTTGTTGAACTTTTTGACATCTGGGGAATTGACTTTATAGGTCATTTCCTAGTTTATATGGGAATTTGTATATCTTAGTGGCTATTGACTATGTTTCAAAATGGGTTGAAGCAATTGCATTACCCTCCAACAATGCCAAGGTGGTAGTAAATTTTTTCAGGAAAAACATTTCTTGAGATTCGGAGTGCCATGGGCAATCATTAGTGATGGAGGAACCCATTTTTGCAATAGGCAGTTTGAAGCTCTTTTGGGAAAATATGAAGTGACACACAAGGTTGCTACACCATACCATCCTTAGACTAGTGGGTAAATGGAACTTTCAAACAGGGAATTGAAAAGGATTCTTGAAAAGATAGTAAATGCATCTGTTAGATCACAAGCAAACAAAAAAGAAAAACTAAGCTAGAAATAATTTGAAACTAAAATCAAACTCCAATTTAGCAAAAACTAGAAAACTTCAATATTAACACAAAATCAATCCCCGGCAACAGCACCAAAAACTTGATGCGTGTGATTCGACAACATGCATACGTAGCAAGTGCACTAGTTGCAAAAAGTAATAAAATGATGAATAAAGTATCGTTCCCACGAGGATTCAGTGTTAAGTACTACTTTTCCTAGTTTTGTAACTAATTGAAGAACACGAAGATTGTTTGGATTTGCGGGAGAAAAATAAAGCAGAAATTAAACACAAAAGTAAACAACTTAAAGTAAAATTTAACTAATTAAGACAATATCAATTCAAGGCAAAAGAGGTTAAGGTTTCGACTTCACTAGGATACTCTGATTTAATCTACAATTTCTGTTGCTTTCAAATTCACATGCAAGGATTATAAATCGGACACCCTAATCTGTAGAATATACCTTCTTAGGCTATATTCTCCTACTTATTCCCATTAACCTTCCATACCCAACAAAATGAAGATTAACAGTTCAAAGTCCATTAAGCTAAGTGGAATCCTAAAGCGATTTCATAAATCTTCGAACTTATCTCTAGCGTTCACTCAATCTGCGGTGTTTACTCTAAGAGGCGAACACATGAATCACTTCTCAGTCTCATCATGTTCAACATTCAATTGAACAAAAAACTCAGCATCCAATTGCATTAAGAACAAGAATAATCACATAATCCAAGAAATAGAACTAAAAAACAACATCAATTTAAAGACTAAACCATTGTAATCCGAGTTACATCAAAACTCTAACCCAAAATTGAGTTAGTTCATACTCAAAGTAAAAGAAAGCATAACAATAACTGTAAATAAAGAGTTCAACATGCTAGGAATTAAAAGAGGAACAAAAGCTTCCCTAAATTGAAGACCCAAATTCTTCAAAACTCCAATCTCCCCTTTTTCTTTCCTAACAATCTCGACCTCCCCAAAAATGAGCTAAGTCTCTCTTAAATAGTCGGCCAAAACCCTAGGACTCAAGACAAAAATGGGAAAGCGCACCGTTTTAACAAAACAAAAATCTCCAGAGTTGACATCGCGATGAAGCACAAAAATACAACGAAGCACAAAAATACACATTGGACTCGAGAGTCTCATGCCGCGGTGAAAATTCTTCTCGCCGAAGCGAAATTCTATGTTGATTAAATTGAATTTACAAAAATGCCCTTGCATGCTCCAACACTTGAATCTTCGATTTTCTCTTTCTGTCTTGTTCATTTGAGCTCCAAGGGTGCTTCCAATCAACCTCCGACATTCCTGACTGTGAAGACTCTCGAATTTGAATTGATTGACCTTGTTTTTGCTTTGTTTCGATCTGGAAATGCGTTTTAGACTTGAAATGTGAAATGAACGAATTAAGTGGCAATTCAGGCCTAAATTCAAGTGAAAGTATCCGAAAATCTTACCAAATAAACAAGAAAAATAATATAATCTACGGATTATCAACAATAAACAAACTTCCTGCTATTAACCAAATCGTAACAAAACAACAAAATGACACTTTTCTTTCCAACACAACGTATAGTAAATGAAAACAAAAAAAGTATAAACAAACATGATTACCTCCAAAAGTTCAAACACTCGAACACTTAAACCTTATCGTTGAAAACTTCAATGATTACGGACTTCAAAAGTCACGACTTAGGAGACAAACTTGTCACTAGAAGTCACAAAAAACCTCATCGTTTGTCGGAAAAAGTCGTTGTCAAAAACCCTTAGCTCCTACTGTTAACAATGTACACGAACGCAAAACGCTAAACTCGCCAACCGCTACTCCACTGCCGGTCATCGTAAACAGTCACCAGAAGGCAATTGAAGATGTCAACAGAAAACCCAACAGTCGCCATTTTCAGAACACACAAATGTCAAATGACTTTTGCGTTTTTCCTTTTCTATCAAATGTCAAACTCTCATGGACACCTGCCAATGCCCCAACCCTGCACTTCAATTTCAAATTTTAATTTTTTATTAAAATATTAATTGATAATAATGCCCTTACTTTTATCAATCGATTGACCATTATACCCTTTTATATTAGGAAAACTACTAACGGAACTCCTCAGTGAGTGGCGATTTGGTATTTTGAAACTTTTTGGGTGGGAAAGTGTCATTAAGGCAAACCTTAGGAGGGAAATAGTCGTTACTCTTCTATTAGTTGTTCTTTGTTAAATTAGATAGTAAGCATTAAGATGAAGTTAATAGGAAAACAAAAGTTGCTATATCTATATGGTTTAACACTAATATGTAGAATTTATTAAGGAGAAGATAAATGAGCTTTATTATTACATAAGTTATACTTTATTAATTAAATGACAGTTAAGTTGGATTACATACTTATATATACGTATAATATACGAATCCATGGAAACATATAAGAGATAAGTAGAAAAATTTATGGAAGAATTATTATTTGGAGGTAGAGAAAACTTCTGATTATCATCATATTGTGACAAGATTGATTCAAGGTAAGTAAAATAGATAGTTGTTTTAAACGAATCATAGTAAGCATATGAATGTACTTATATAAAGCATTTTCATGTGAATTGTTTTGTATATTAAATATGTTTGATCGATGATGCTTGTGGCTTTGCCTATATATGAAGCTGATTTTTGTGTATGGATTGGATTTTCGTTAATATGTTCTGATCAGGGCGTAGTCAATTTTTTGTTTATATATTCTGATTATGCTATGTTCAGTTTCCTCTCTGTTATGGAAAGTCCACTAATCTAAGTGTTAAGTTAAAGAAGCTTTGTGAAAAGTATATGTTTTCAGAAAAAGTTTTATAAAAGTATTTATGAAAAACCTCAGTTTATATATTGAGTTAACTATCACCCTAGCTTATTGTGATTCACAGATAATTGAATGATTAGAACGTAATATTGGATTTGGCATGGAGGCTTCAAGTTCCCTTGGTTCCCTAATTGTCTACAATGATTAAGAGTTTTACTAATGGTTTTCAATGAAGATATGATAGAATATAGACATGTTCTATATGAGGGAACAGAGCCTCCAGATTATAGGGAGAAAAGAAGAGGGGAATTTAGGTTAAAACTCTGATGATCTTTATTTCATGATTATCAAACTTAAATATTGTTGGTCCAACAATCAATTACCAGAAGACCCTTACACCACAAATACTTAAAGTCTGAAAAACCAGAGTAACGTAAAACTAACTAATAAGCAATTGCTTCATAAAACTATTAAGAATCACACCACATAATCCTTTGACCACCAAGGTGAACGTCTCACTCTTGCAGGAAGCTTTCTGCTGCTTTCTTCCTTACCCAAAGTCCTATCAGAAATTATTGAACTTGGAGAGTTGGATACCCACATATTGCCATCCCTAAAACTCATACGAGCCTCAAACGTTTCTTGAGTACGTTATGAAAGTAACTCAATATATTCTATGGTTTACAATGAATAACACTATTTTATTGATTAATCCATAGTTTATCATTAAAAAAACATTTTACATCGTGAGTATATTTTTAACACCAAAAAGTCCGTCCCCCAAAATTAAGAAAATGAAACACTAGAAAAAAAAAAAAAAAAAAAACAAAGGAGAAAAACCCATTTGAATTTAAATTTAATTAAAAAAAAAAAAAAAATCAAGGGGGGCCAGTTGCCTCCCTTTATCCCTTGCTGGTTGGTAGCCCTGCCTATAAGTATGAGCCCGTAAAGATTGAAATCCGGAGTCCGCTACATGTACGTGAGCTTAATTATTAAGAAATAAACAAATACAGATCGATAGATAAACTGCTTCGGAGAATTTAATATGAATTGGCTTAAATTAAATTTAATCTTATTCATGTTATAATTCCATAAGTATAAAACACACTTGATTTCTCACACTATATTTGCATCTTTGAATTTCGAGTTATTGCGTTCAGCAAAACCAATACTAGGATCCTTCCCCTCTCTAATTGCACTTCGGAATTTCTCAATCCTCTCAAGAATTCCCTTCACTGCCAAATCAAATGCATCTCCAAGAATCTCATCCTTTCTAACCCTCCTAGGATCTGAATATATTATCCCTGGAATCAACCTTATAACTTCCTCTCTCATGGCCGCTACCTCTTCCTTTGAAAATTTAATCAATGTCTTATTAACCCTAAATTCCCTCACCCATAGATTTTTCTCTGGTATAAATACAGAATACTTAGTATAATTCTTGGTTAAATGCCACGTGTACTGCATATAAGCGCTACCCGGATGGAAAAAAACTGGAATACAACCTGATAAAATAGACTCGAATGCTGATCTTCTGGTCAATGAATCCCCGGGAGGCTGTAAGCAAAATATTGAACTTTGATAGAGTTTCATCACATGAATTGGGTTATCGCAATTGGTTACACCCTCTCTACAATCCAGCAATTTACACGTACTACTCGAAGCTTGGCATTGGTCGATGAGAATACTCCGAATAGAAGTTTTCATAGAGGGCCGTGGGGCACCGGAGAAAGAGAACAAATATGGTCGCTCTTGTCTTCTCATTCTGTCCTGCCACTCCACCACCTCACTGTCTTCAGAAGGGTGAAACGATGTCGGATATGGTATGGCCAGGTCGTTGTTCCAAGGACTTGCTTCAATTGATAACATTGTTATGTTATTTGATTCAGGAAAAAATCTGAACTTGCTTCCCCAGGCACCTCTTCTGTCTATTTCTCTCCTGAAATCAGTAGCAATCCTTCCTCCGATTAAGAAATGGTCTCTACCCCACATTCGTTTCCATTCAGGTCTTTCTGCTACCCATTTGAGTAGATTAAGACCAGGTGAATCTTTCATCGACAAGTCGAAATTACCCCATAGATATGGCATAATATCTAGACATAAATAGTATGGTACAAAAATTGCTGATGCAATTGATGAATCGTTGGTTAAGCACTCGTATGTTTTCATTCTGTTGTGGAAAATAACTTCTAATAAAAATTGGTTTGTTGCAAACCAACTTTTGTTGGATAAAATCCTAGAAGAGTTTTCTATCTGAGGACCATAACCTGAGTTCTCTGCGTATTTACAGAGAGGAAATTTATTAGTTCCTGGGACAGTAAAATTACAATTCTTGACCACGTCTTCATTGAACCGGCTTGGAAGATCATGTATATAGATATGTCGACCCAGACATAAATCTAAATTTACCTTGGTTATATTGTTGTTGTTCCCAAGGTAAGCATTCACATAACTGTTTACTAAAAGTTTAATATCAAACTTGCTACCTGTGACACATGAATAATAAATACGAAGCAACAAGATCCAAAAAACAACGATGACTAGAAATACAAACCGGAGTTGACTGCCATAATTTCTAATGAATGGTTTCTCCATTTGATCTTGACGGGCTTCCACTAATGCAGCAGACAATGAGAGAAGCTCCCTGAAAGTTGTGTGTAAACAAAGCTGCAATGGAAGCAAGAGTTTTTTCAACTCTTGTATCATATGTTCTTTAAGATATATCATACATTTATACGGTGGCGGAGCCAGAAATTTGCGCACAATTAAAAATTAATATAATGATAAACATGAAAGCAGAAATGCAAAAATAATGAGAAAACTTATCAATTTATTAATATATAATAAGAAAATCTATATATCTATCTATCTATATATATTTAGACGGATAGATATATAATTTATTACACTGATACATCCAACTTGGAACACCTTGAGCTGTGTGTAGATGCCCAAGTTGAAGTTGATAAATTAATAAATTTATTTTAACTTGGCTATGAAGTATACACAATTTTGTGCAGTTTTTAAAACGCTTCAGCTTCCTAGAAGATAAACCTAGTTTACCCTATTCTCAAGCAAAATACTACATAATTACTGGATGAATTTCCTCCGTTAATCCCTCCTAAATACCTTGTATTCCGACCTCTACACCTGTTTAGCTTTCACTGCAAATTTCGTTAATAAGTTCGTAATTGTTGATGCGTGATTTTGACACCAACGAAACACATGTGTGAAATGTTGAGTTGGCCCCAAAAGACACACGTGAATGGTTTGGAAAATGACACTAAATGTAGTGAGAAAGGAGTTTTAAAGTGGTTCGGATGCTAAGGAAGCAAATCCTACGTCCACTGATGTTTTTATTAATGATAAAGGTCATGTCGTTTTAGACGACTGACTTTACACTGATGATACAAGGTATCCAAGACTGTCTATTCTAGAGAGAGAGAGAGTTTTGTCAAGAGTAAAATGTGCGAATCCCCTTAATGAGAGAGGAGCTCTCATTTTATAGTGGGATGCCTTGAGGTAATGATCACTGAATCTATAAGTTCGTGGGATGATCCGTGCAAATCTTTTTTTTAGAGTAATTCACGTGATTTGTTGCAGGGATTGGACACATGGGATCATCACAACTCCTTGCTAGCCTGATGTGCACCCATTATTCTGACGGAAGCAAGCTGTTGGGTGAAACCATGATCACACGACGCAACTGCACCAGAATAGCAATAGACTCTTCCCGAGGTCTGACCTTTCGCACTTAACTGGACGCCACGTCAGCCCTATGTTCCCAGGCATAACAGAAGTCCCCTAATTTTTAAGGTTTGAGAATCGAACCTTGGAAACTACAAGTCATGCCGCAATTGGATGATTCCTGGAAATTCTGGAAATTTCAAAAATTCTGGAAATTCTGGAAATTTCGACCTGTCTAAAAGTAGGTCGGGATGACACTTTCTCGAGAATGATCTCGCATGTTCATTGTTTGTAGGGGACGAATGACCTGATTTCGTCAGACGTCACCTGTTGTTTTTTTAATATGGGTGCATTTAATGAAGCAGTCCCTGCGCTGACAAATGTGCCCTGTGCGTGATAAGTGCCAGCCAGATGCATTAAATGCGTTGTACGCTGACACAGTACGCCTTATCAGGACATTAAATGCGCAGTACGTTGGAATGACGCCCCTTATCAGAGCATTAAATGTGGATTTGAGACGCAATTAATGCTCTGAGAAAGAGAGATGGCCGTCGTTTGAGCTTTTCAACGGAAGAGATGAAGGTCTAACTTTATCCAGTCGTGACGCTCACTCTTCCCCGCTGATGCGCGACACGTGGTCGTGATCAACGGTGAGAAACCTTTGCCACCCAAACACCGTTTCGATTCCAAGAAATCCAAACGCCGATTCATACGCTATAAAAACCTCGAGTCGTTCTCAGGCAATGTCACCAGAGCCTTTTTCTTAGAGAGTAAAAGATCTTTCGCAAGCTTGGAACCTCTGCCTTTCAAACTAGCATTTTTCCAGTATTCGAAGCGGAAGCTATTGCCATATTCCAAGAGGTAAGAGCTTCTCCCTGTTTTTTGTTTCATTATTTTCCATGGTTGAATGGCGTATGTCTTCCGGTAGCCTATCAGAGACGAGATGCTTAGGTCGGGTTCGAGCCATGAATGGCTGCTTGAATCATGCCATTAGGGTTTCCTTTGGGATTTTGGGAGTTTGTTTCCTCCCATATCATCGTACGAAATAGCGTACGACGGCTAAATGACCTTTCTGCTTGTCACTTTTGCAGACCAGCAAAATGGACCCCTCAACAACCAGATCCGAACAGGGAACCAGTTCGTCCCCACAGGGTGCTCCAAGCATCCCTATCGAGGTCTTCTCGGTACTTACCGGGGATGAGCTCGAGAGGGTAATAAAGCAATACGCTATCGAGGTGGACGCTTTCCTTGATGTGGCACACTCATCGCGGTACCCGTTAAGTGGTCTGGCTGCGGTCTTCGAGGAGATCATCAAGGGTGGGGGACTGATCCCCTTCCACCCTTTCATCAGGTCGCTTTTGGACCACTTCAGGGTCACGCCGATGCAGTTGACTCCGAACGCGTACGTCATTGCTGTTGCAATGTACATCACGTGCCAAGAGAACGGGCTGGGTGAGCTGACCGCGATGGAGGTCGGCTGCTCGTATTATTTGAAGAAGAGCAAGGACAAGGACTCTTATTACTTGTCCAGGCAACCTACTATCGCCAATGGGATACACAACTATCCGAATAACGCGGGGGCCCATGAAACGAAGTTTTTCTTCTTTCATTATGACGGCCATTGCCGCTTCCAGGATCCGAGTAGGCCTCTTTCTTTTTTTATTTTTTTATTTTTTTTTATTTTGACGAATTCATTACACTCGAAATGTGTTTTTCTAACGACCTGATTCCTTTCGGACAGTTAACAAGATGACCGACCTAGGGCTCTTCGATAGAAGTAGGATCGTGCATTTCGGCTCCTTACCCGAGGACAAGCGTGACTCGAAGAAACTCATGGCGACCGCGAGTTTGGGAAAATATGGTTTCTTCAACGCAAACGCGTCGTTAGAGTCCCCATTGAGTAAGTCCTACTAACTGATCCCTTTCTGGTCGTGAAATGAGATATCTTTGCTAATGATGCTTTGCATGCAGCAACCATGCCTCCGAAGGAGTCAGAGCAGCCGCGATGAAGGCCGATCACTTTCCTTTGGACAAGAAAAGCCAAAGGGGCTGAAGTTGCTTCGACCGTTCCACCGGATGAAAGCGCAACATCGGGCCCATCGACACGACCTTCCAGAACTTCTCAGGCGTAACCTTCAGAGGACATGCCAATGCAAACCATGAAGGTCTCCCAGCCGTCGCCTGCTCGCCCGAGGCTGAAGACAACGACCCAGCGAAAGAAGAGGAAACAGATTCAGGTCGAAGAATCAGAGACCGAATCTGAGGGTGATCAATCAAAGGGGTCGCGACCGGACGCGAGTAGGTCGAGTAAGGAACCTATGGATGACACGACCGCTGTCGAGGCCAAGAAGAAGGATACTCAAGTGTTGGACTCGCTGGGGAACTTGCCGGAGTACCTGCAGCTGGTGGTCTACGCCTTATTGGAATGCGGACTCTCGAAATCGTTCGAGCAGTTTGCAAGTTCCAGCGACGTGGACCTAATGTCCACATCGATCCAACACTTAAGCAAGGTGAACGAACTGTCCTCGGCGAGGACTTCTCTTAGCTTCTTTTGATTAGCTTACTCTATCTTTCTTCGTTCGCAGGCTCTTCTTTCCATGTGAATGTCCATGGAGAAGGTTCAATTGGGAGCCGCAAAGGGAGATGTTGCTATGAAGGAAGAGAACGTAGCGCTCAAGCGAAGCCTGGAAGCTGTCGAAACAGAGAGAAATCTGTCTTCTGAGTCGGCGAACAGGTACCTGAATGAAAGAGATGCGGCTCTTTGTACGTTGGACTTCCAAACAGCACAGCTCGAGAAGCATGGAGAGGAAATAAAGGAGCTACAAAGGACCATAGTCAGACTCTCCAGGGAGGCCGGGGTGAAGGATCAAGAGCTCAGAGCAACCTCTCTACATGCCTCACGAATAGAACAAGAGAGGGACGCCTTCAAGAAGCGAAGGCAAGCTCTCGAAGCTGAACTTTAGGAAAGTCAAGGAAAAGTTGCTTCCTTGACACAAGAGATGCAGAATCAGGCAGCGAAGGTTGAGGAGAAGGCTGTCGACCGGGTAATCGAGTCTATTTATGCCTTGCGAATGAAGAATCTGCGACTTGACATGTTTGACCTCCCAAAAGACTGGCAAGATACACTTATGTCCATGGCGCGGGAGGATGATGAAGCGGCGGCTTCCCGAGCAGGAGGTTCGGGACATACCTCGGATAAACCAACCCTCAGCCGACCAGCCTTAGGACGATGAGGTCGGCCCACTAGGAACCAGATTAGGGCTTATAGCTATGTCATTTTGCCGTTGTACTTCCACAATAATGAAATACATTTCTGCTTTTACAATTTCTGTTCGCTTTACTGTACATGAGTACTTCCTGATTGTTTACATTTACTGAAACAAGTGTGATAACATAACACATTCACACGAACAAGATTACATGTGAAGATTGTTACAAGCACACAAAATGACACTTTACAAGGAAATTATTTACACAAATTGCAAGTTAATTTACAAGGAAAACTGAGTTTGGAATTACTGATAGTATGGTCGAAGGTGCTCAGCATTCCAAGCTTGGGGTACCTTGGAACCATTCAGCCTTTTGAGATGATAAGTCCCCGGTCTTATCACTTTGTCGATGCGGTAGGGACCTTCCCAGTTTGGTCCTAACACTCCCGTACTTGGTTCTTAGGTACCGAGAAGAACTTCCTTTAACACAAGGTCGCTGACCTGGAAGTCTCTTCGCCTGACCTTTGAATCGAAGAACCTCTTCGCGCATTGCTAATAGGCTCCTATCCTTAGTGAAGCCTTGCAGCGATGTTCTTCAACAAGGTCTAGGCTTGCTCTCATAAGTGCTTCGTTGTCGGCCTCATTGTACAAGTCCCTCCGAAGTGAACCAGTTCCCACCTCTACAAGGATCATCGCTTCTCATCCATATGCTAGCCAAAAAGGTGTTTCTGAGGTAGAGGTCCTTGGAGTTGTTCTGTACACCCATAGGACTTCGGGGAGGTTGTCAGCCCAATTCCCTTTGGCTGTGCC